CCCCCCGGGACCCCGTGGGGCGGGCCCGGATCCGTTACACCGCAGTGCCGACAAGGCAGATCGCACCAGCCCCCGCCTCGCAGGGCCCGGCGGGCTTCACGGCAGCAGCTCTGTTTTCATTTTTGAAGTTACTCCTCGGCGCTGCCTTCCGATTTCGGCCCCTCCTCACCTTGCTGCCCATCCTGCATGGTTAGGATGAAGCGCTGGCTGAGGCCGCTGGCGGGGGCGGCGAGGCCGCCCAGGGGAACTCCGCCTGTTACAATGGCGATGACGCGCTGCCCTCCGCCGCCAGCCGCTTGTTGTATGGCAGAATCGACACAGTTCGCTTCCACTATTTCCTCCGTCTTACCTTGAGAAACAAAGTAAGTGCCAAAAAAAAAGTCAGTGTTTCCTCCTCTCTTCCTTGAATAGAAACTGAAGTCTAGCGAGGAAGCTCAAGCACGCAGCGTGAGACTCCTGCAATGGCTTACGAAAAACAATCTGGGCACACAGCAAGTCTCAGTAGGGGAAAGAAAATAAAATCCACTAAACCTTAGCAAAACAAATCTTCTAGAGCAAACCCAGCATTTTTCGTGTAAATTAATAAGTACTAGCACACAAGTATGCTAATTAAATTAAAAAGCTGGAGGTAGCTGTTAAGCAGACCTGGCTCTGCAAAGCTTCCTTCCATGACCCTTCCTCCCAGCTCTAAGGAAGACAACCCACACGCAAAAACCTCGTCGTGCCTCACGAGCCCCGGCCGCAGGAGCATCCCCACAGCAGCCCCGCGGAGGCTGTTTACTTTGGCCGCGCGACCAAGGACCGGTTCAGCTCCCTGGGACACCTCTTGTGTGACTTAACGGCTCGCACAGATAATCAGGACTGCAAACCCTCGGCTGCATCCTGCTCCCAGCGTTCGCTGCGAGCGCAGGAAACAGAGGGGACCTGACCTGCTACGCGCGCTCCGGGTGCCAAAGAGGAAAACGCTCAGGCAGCGCAGGTCAAGAAATCAGTGGTGTGGCACCAGCAGCTTAAAGAAGTCTCTAGATTCTAGGAAAAACGCTTGGCCTTGGCGAAAACTAATGAACTCCAAGGTGAAAGGATGCTTTAAACTTTATCAAATTTCTAAAGCTGAAGTTAATTAAAGGTCAAACATTACAATCTACACACATATCATAAAAGATCATTAAAAAACCCAAACAAAAAATACCCAAACCTTTCCATAAGAAAGAGTTACCAGAGCCCCAAAACATTTGTTGACTACCAACATTTCACAGCAAACTGGGGACAGAAAACACTTCAGACGATTTCCTTCCTAAACAAATATTTGGCTACACAGCAGGAGCAACACACTGTGATGTCAGACATGCTGCTTAAAAAAAATTAAGTTATTTCTATTGGTAACAGCTGCTGGTTTTATTATGAAGTTTGACCTGGGATTAAAAAAAAAATAAACAAACAAACAAAATAAACCCACTGCTCCACAAATATTTACCATCATATCTCTCCCTTACCCTGAAAGCAGGCAAATTCACTTGCACATGTTAAATTTCCTCCAATTTCCTCGCAAGCTGCTCACAAGAACTACACACACTGGAGTCGACCTCTGACCGGCTTCCCCTACCTGTGTCTCCACTGGAGCTGGAAAGCGGTGCCGACACTTCAGCGAGGGCCGCGAGGGTGGCAAGCACCGAGGTCGTCGAATTGGAGAACTGCACCGCAGAGACATGCGAGTCACCTGCTGGGAACGAGCAGAGCAAACCGCAGGACTGTCAGGGCCTGCCATGCCCAAACACGAATAAAGCAGTCAGAATGCAACAATTTTGTCACCTAGAGATGCAGACATCAGCTAGGAAGTATTATCTGGGCTCCCACTGGTCAGTGGAGAAAGGGAGGGGGCACAGATCGCTCTTCACGCGAGGCACTGCTCCTACTACTAGCAGTAAAAAGGGCTTTGACATCACTTCAGGGCAGACTGCACCTACTCCCAGTATTTTACGGTAACTTCAATCGAATTTAAAGCAAATATTTCATGAAGTTATTTCTGAATCGCATGAACGATCTGCTCCAGCGTTACTGCAAGAGCTAGAGAAAGGCAGGCTGCCTGCCGGGCTGCTCGGCACGCCGAGCTTCGGCCTGGGGACGTGGACGGCTTTTCAGGATGCAGCCGCGCTGCCTGACGACACCCACAGACGCGCTCGAGTCCGACTGCTGGGAGGTTGCGCAGAGCAGTTGCTACGCACGTAGCGACTTGGCGGCGCGTCGTACTGCAACTTTCAGAATTGCAAAACTGAAGGAATACATTAAACTCCCTGGCTGTTATGAGTAAAGGACAGCAGCCCAGCTCCTCCTCAGCTGGGGCAGGCTGCAAGGAGAGCCTGCGGCATCGCCTCGTGGAGCAAACGCTTAGCACAAGCCAGTCAGCAGAGCCTTTTGCTCAGAGGCAGACACCGGCTGTGCCTCTCACTGGGTTTCCGTGCACCGGGCACGCGGGTCCTGTCCTCCTCCCCTCTCAGGTTCAGTAACGGAAAGACCACGGTTGCTGCAACGGGGTATTGACTGGAGGCAGATAAACGAGCCTTCTGGGTTCCAGAAAACAATGTTTCTTCCTCCAATTGACCATAGTAATTCCTATTCAAAGGCAGATTTAATAAGAATGGAACAGGAAATTAACTAAACGGGCGCAAACTCAGTGTGTATAACCCACAATTCCTCCTCTTTTTAAAAAAAAAACAAAAAAAAAGAGATCCTGTACCTCACTGCGCGCGTAGATAAACAGATTACAAGCACACAAAGGGAAGTTCATCCAAAGTTCCCCCGCCTTAACCCTTGCAACTTATTTTTGCTCTTTCTCAGCAGCTCTGGATTTTACAAAGGTTACTGAGTGACTTCTTTTCACAGAACAATGCTTCCACAAGGCCGTGGGCTAGGCACGCCAGAATTCCACAGCCCGTGGGACTGGTTCCAGCAGTTTGAACCAGATTTCTTCAGACCAGCTAAAGACAGCTATTCCCATTTAAAAACTTTTTCAGTAACTGAAGCCATAGAAAATTTACAAGAAACAAGAAGAGTTGTTAGCTCTAAGTGTTAAAGAAAAGATTTTTCTTGCAATGAAGGCGCAGCCGCGGATGCCCTCTTGTGGGAAATGAGAAAAAAAAAAGCTCCTGACGTGGCCCAGAGCGGGAGACACCAGCTATCTTCACGCTGACCAGCTACTACTGATGCTTGAAGCATCACAGGGGTGAAAACCCAGGGTATTTTAGTCATCACACGTGGACAATAAGCCAGCGTCGCGCTGTGGGCACTGAAAAAGGCGATCACATTGCAGAACAGAGGAGCAGAGCTGCGGTGAGAGATGGGGATTTACACGACCACGGCCAAGAGCCCATCCGGAGCGCTGCCTGCCGCTCACCCACACACCGTGGGTGCATCCAAGGGGCTCGAGGACCGGCGTGCTGAGCCTGACGAAACAAAGGCAGAGAGGGGACAGGACCGATTTCCACATCAAAGGGACGGAGGCAACGGAAAAAGCTGCACGATTTCAACTGCAGGGCTGTATTCCCACCAGGAGAAGGTCTAAACAGGCGGTGAATTGTGTTTAAGCTGAAAATCAGCAGTTTTCTAACAGCAGGGCATTGGCCTGCGACTCCTGCCTGGCTTGCAGGCAGAGGCAGACCCACCTGCAGAGACAGCGATGCTGACCGTGGCCACAGGGTCACCCGGGGACAAAAATCCCAGGGTTTATGTCCCCTGCAGTTTGTGGAGTATCGTTGACTGAAGAGGTCGTGCACTGGTCACGCTGCATTTTCCTCACAGGTGGAAGAGTAACACTTTAGGTCATTATTCCCCTTCTAAATTAGGATTTATCAGTGCCACAAAGCTGTGAGCAGCCCCAAAAGCTTTGCAGGCACGTCTGGTGCGCTGCTGAAGTCCCTGTGGCCAGGCACAGGCAGAGAGGGTTGGGTGGGACTGCCCAACGTCAGGATCCGCATTTTTTAAGCGCTCTCTAGCTAGTAAGCAAACATTCACGCATGTGAACAGTCCCACTAACCAAAGAATTACTCACATGCAGAAGTGTTTGCAGGATGAGGCCAAATAGCTTCACAAAACTTGTACTTAGTAGCCTCCTTGCGACTGAAAAGAAACAATGGTTTGGAATTCCCCAAATACAGAAAAATCACTTTATGAGTTATTATGAAAACCGGAATTACACAAAAAGAACTCACACTCAGCCTTAAGTTAAAAGTGTTTCCCCCACCAAAGTAAGGCTCACAGAACAATGAGGAACCTAATCATTTCCATCTAACATGTGGGACAGAAGAAATAAGGAGTAAGCTACATACCCAACAGACCTGCTTATTCTGCAGCTGCCTTACTCAACATTTCTAGATAGCAAAACACTCATTCAGCTCTTGCAGCCAGTAAAGAACAAAGCAAACCGTCCCCCAACTGCTCCGCAGTGCTCAGGATTTGGCACAGGCAGTAATTCTCATTATTCCTCTGTTGCAATCAGCCAGACCCGTTTTCCCAAGCTCTGTTGCTCGTAACAGACCGCGAGCAGCCCCACAGCTGAGCTCAGCAGAGCTCTGCCCCTTCCAGTGGAACCACCTTTATTTACATCAGCTAGAAATCTGCTTGGTTACCTTCGACAGCAAAAACGTTCTGGGGAAGGAAGCAGCAGCTGGCTGCGCTTGGCTGCATTTCACCACTTTTCCTCTCCTAAATGCCCGCCTGCCCTCTGCTGGTAGCAGTCCTAGGAACTTTTTTCAAGGCTTTCCCACTCAAGGTCTCATAAAACCTCACCTGAGGTTGTTTTGGCGTTGGCCGAAGAGACGAGACTAGTGAGATTGAGAACTTCCCCCGGCGTGAGAATAAACGGCGAGGTGAGCGTCACGGTGTTGGTGACGGGATCCGTTCTCTCCAGATGAGTGTCGACCTGGTTCTGCATTGCTTCCTAGAAAAGACAGCGGGGTCAGGCACACTTTTGTCACGCTTGCTATGGTATTTAGCATCCCCGAAACATTTTTGAGGCAGATTATTTCTCTCTGCAGCACCTCAGGGACACCAGTGCCAAAGCTGTGACAAAACTGCCACCTGAACTTGGCAACTTACACTACGACTGCACAAGACGCGTGGCAACAAAACGCCATCACCACCGAGCCCTAGCAGACACGCACTGGCTGATCCAGAAATAAACCAAATCTCATCCACCTCCGTATTTCTAGTTCTCTCTGCAAACAGAAACTGATCCCATCAGACACCACAGGATCCCTCTGACTCCAGCGCAGAGACAGCTGTGGGTCAGAGAATCACCAATGCCTTTCTCCTTCCCCAGCCTACCTGCAGCATTACCAGAGTCTCTGGGTTGTTCTTGTCCAAAGCAATATCAAAAGCCGATTTATCGAACTTGCTGAAAGCGTGGACATCAGCTCCGCATTTGATGAGCAGCTCGACGACGTCTCGGTGGTTGTGCTCTGTCGCCCAGTGCAAAGCGGTCATTTTCAGCATGTCCTTGGCATTCACATCAGCCCCGTTCTGCATGAAATAAGCATCAATTGCCTGGGCACCATCTTCTCTCAATGTCTTACAAGTGGTGCCTGTGCCAGCACTTAGACAGGGACATCAACACTCAACTCCAAGGGTGATTTAGGCCAGCCTTAAAGCAATACGTAATTTACTACACTTACCCTAATTAGCAGTTCTACGATGTGCGTGTGTCCATCAGCCGCGGCCATGTGCAGTGGCGTCCGGTCCACTTTTGTCCGGGCATCTCTGCTGACGCCAGCGCGAAGCAGCACTTCCGCTGTCGAATAGTGGCCGTACTGGGCAGCGAGGTGAAGCGGCGACGTCCCAAGCTGCGTGCGAATTTAGATGAGTTACTGCTGGCTCACAGCAAGAGGACGGGCACAGGAATCACCGCGTGTACGTCCGGCAGCAATTAAAATGACAAAGCTTCTGGAAGAAATTAATTTAAACTTTTTTCCTCCACCCACAAATAGGGGGCTGCACATCCAGTAATTTTCCCAACAAACGTCAACCTTTTCAGGATCTTTACGTCAGCTGGTAACTTGAAGATCAAACAGCTTTTCCTTTCCCCGCTGTGCCGTCCCTTTATCACCGAGCCTCTTCCAGACCACAGCAGAACAGCGCTGCCACTTCCGCTCGTTTCACCGCTGCTCACAAAAGGGCAGCACTACAATATTACCAGGCTCTGCCATCTCTCCAGGCAGTTAATTCCTTCACCTCACAAAGTTGTGAATGAACAGACTGGTAAGTTAGGAAATGAAGACAACTGGTGATGGGAAATGGCTACCGATGGCTTGTTCGTTATGGTCTGGTTCCCTGTTTATCCAACTGTTATTCTTTGGTTTCATTAAAGCTTTTATTTCCTTTCCAACCCAGGATGGGCTGGTTTGTTTTCAAGATTTTCTTTTTTGAAGGAAACAAAAAAACCTCCAAAGATTAGTTTCTTGACTGAGAAAGTTTGAACAATTAAATAAAGCATTCTTAAAAGAACTTCCTATTACCGAGAGGTTTCACAGTTCTTCCAATCTGAACAACTCCTCATTTATCTCAGCTGTGGGGAACTCCACTGCTCAAAGCACCAAACCCCGTACACGCCGCCGTCCGGGACAGCACGGTCCTTGCGACTGCGCTCTCTGCACTAGGCCGAGATCAATCTTCAGGCAAACATCAACCCAGCTTTGCCTGAGGAAGGCCTCGGCTCTCAGAGTGCTTAATCTGGAATCTGCTCCGCCACAGAAATCCAGAGATTTATTTTCTGCCAGCCCCACTCTGGTTTTAGTGCTCCAGTTTCCATTCGTCTCCTTTAGGCTCAGCCTAAAGACTCCAGCCTGCGCCCACAACCCGTTTCACGCGGAAAACGGACGTCTCTCCCGCCGACGTACCCAGTCAGTGGTGAAGGGAGCACCGCTGGCCATCAGCTTTCGCACTTCGTCATCTTCGCCTTTGCGCGCTGCTTCGAGCAGCCTCTTCCCTAGGTCCACTAAGGACATCTTCATGCATGGGAACAAGCGTTTGCCAAAAGCTGCTTTAAAAGCAAGAAACGGAAAACAGACAGACAAAAAGCTGTGAGGCAGAGACATTCTGAATGCGCTGCAGAACCACAGCCCTCCTGGACATGCCGTCCTCCCGTACAGACCTAGGCCCAGCACGACCAATAAACAGGCATAAACATCTATCGTCTTTTTCAGTCCCGTGCCCTGAAACATCACGAGCAGGCAGCACGCAGGGTCAGACACCACAAGCTACCAGAGCTCCTGCAAAGTCCCGCTTACCTCAGCCGCGCCTTGCATGGACACAGGGACTTGCCCATGTGGATCCGGTTCCAAGAGCAGAACCTAAAAAAGCAACGGCAAAGCTGTCCACATTCCTTGCGCAGCATCATTTTGATTTTTAAAGCACTTTAAGAACATGATTTAACCTCCGAGACACTCTCTCTGACCCCAGCACTAGCAGCCCAGCATGGGGGAACTATCCCCGTTCTCTACTGGCAGAGAGGACAGAACAAACCCTGGTACCTCCAGCGACTCGTTCGAGGTCAGAGAAGGAGCAGAGCCCAGAAGCTGTGCTCACAACAGCGTCTCTATTTGTCCCAAGCTACGTAAAGCGTAGCATACTGACGGCCATGGTGAACTACAGCGTTCTTCTCAACCCTCGGGTTACGCTGGTACGCCGGTCCTTCCCAAGGCTGACGTTGGAGCCTGCCCACTAAATTGTCCGCAACGTGCAGCAAGCGGCCACAGACGAACGCCCGCGCGAACGGGCACCGCGCCACCCGGCCCCGCAGCGATGCCAGCGGCACTGCCGCCCTGCACTGATGCTTTCCCTTCAACTGCAGTTCTGTAAAATAGTTGGGAAACTCTCTTTCTTTCTATTTTGTGTTCTCTCGAGGGAAACAGCCCACCCTGTCCTCAGCGACCGACAGAACCAGCTGCCGGCAGCCCAAGCCCTTCAACGCAAAGCCGAAGAGCAGAGCTCGCCCCTGGGCCCCACCAGGCCGTGCCGCCCACGCCACCGCCCTCCACCCACGCAGCTCCCTTTCCGATCCGAACCCGCAGCTCTGCCCGCGCTCGCCGCTGGGACACGCAGCACCTCGGGCGTGGAAGTCCAGCGCCCGGCGCCGTCCCTCAGCGTTTGACGACGCATTCACCGTGCACGCGTCTGAGCACCGCAACCCCTCCGCCCGTGGGGGCCCCCCCCCC